CATTTCTTTGTCATTTTAAATTCCTGCAATGACTTCTACCACTTAGAAACAAACAAGCAGATATTTAATTTCTCATATATATGGATAGTATCTGCAATACTGGAAGAAACAACTTTTATAGGCTGCCTATGGAGATTTTAAGGTATCAAATTATAGAAAATCATAATTACCAGATAGAAAAGGGAAAGATATTCTTCTTCACAAGCTAGGGAGAATTTGAAATAAGCTGTCCCTAAGATTTTATCCTAGCAACCAGGCAAGAATCTGAAATTGAGTGATATGATGGACATTCTCAGACACATTTGTGCCTCTACTAAGAGGATTATCTCCATATTTTCTTTTTATTAAACCCTCTGGAACTATTTTGGGAAGAAGATTTGGGCTTTTGAGAACAGGAACTTGTAAGATTTTGCAAAGGAAAAAAATGAACAAACAAACAAAAATGCAGTAAGGCAGATTAAATACAGATTCTGTTTCACTTGCACTTTCACATAATATTTCATAACTTTCAAGGTATGCAACCAAGTTTGGTGAAAATAACAAACAAACAAGTATTACAAAGAGATGGTATGAAAAAGTTCAGCAGTTAAACAATAACATTTATATATAATAACATTCATATAAATAACATAACATCTGTTTGCCTGCTTTCACTTTCTTCTCTCTATGCCTTTTCCCATACACTTGACTGTCTTCTGTCTCACATCTCTTGCATCTGTGTTTCTACATTACTGCACTCTTTGTGGGTACAGTGCTCCTCCAAGGATGAAATTACTAGATATTGTTAGGAGCTTCCAGCTTCAACATTCCTAGTATCTGGTAAATTTTATGCTTTCAAGCTCTTCCTGGAGAAAAAATAATGATTTCTTTCTGCTCTAACTCCTCTTGAAAATGTGATGGAAGCTGGAAGTCTCTGCTCTTTCTTCAGAAGCCTGAGTAGTCAAACAGCAGTCACACCTTGAAGTCTCCACAGTTTGTAACTATAACCACCAAACACTGGTCCTCAGGGTTGCTTTTCGGCTAAAGTTTGAAAGGTCAAGATAACTAATTTCTTTGCTCTGCCTAATCCTTCTCTGCTTCTCTGTAACTACCTCATCTTATCTACTTATCCAACTTCTTATCGAAAGCGACTACTAATTCAGATCCTAATTTGCAGGCCCCATGCTGAGATAGCAAGTCTGCAGCAAATTTCTAGATTAACTTCCGGGTAAAATTCTAGACTTCTGTCCTGCTTTCTCTACAGAAATAGACACATACTACTTGGATAAGGCTTGCTGTTTACTAGCAGCTTTTCCTTATAACAGTTTTCTTTTTCCTAGTATTATATTTCTGGGTTAATTTTTATTAATAAGTGCTATATGATTTCAATTTAGGTAAAATGGATTCTGATGGACCACAGATTTTTAAAGAAGATGTCACTATAAAAAATACAGAACAAGAAGAAATCTCAGGAATATTAGTCATGTCAGCCAAAAAAGTAGCCTTTTGTCCACTTACAAGGGGAATTTGGTTTTAGTTTTTTAAATATTTTTAGATCCGTAAAGTCAGTGAAGATGGTGATAGAATCATGCAGCAATATTTTATCTTCCATTTTTTAATATATTTTAATCTGTTTCATTAACTTACAGAACGCTTTTCATTTTTTCTGTCTTTTTGAAATGCCACCTACACTGATAAAATTACATCAGGAGTTCTCAGCATTTCCAGGAAAAAGCAGAGAAATCACATAAAGAGATGACTATTAAGAAGTACAGAAAAATAAAGAGTCACTTAAGATGAACAGAATTTAACTTGTTTTAAAAACATTCCTATTCAATATTCTCAGTGGGAGGAAATATGTATTTAAAAAAAAAGGAAATATCATGAATATAATACCAAGTGGAAAGCTAAATGCAAGTTAATCGAATTTTAACATGATAGAAGAGTAAACAGAAACAACAGAAGACTGAGTAGAGGTGTCCCATTACAAAACACTGAAGTCTGAATCCTCCTTAGTGTGCAGGTGCAATTAAGTAACAGTTTTCAGTTTGAAACATACTTTGAACATACATGAACATACATGAGCAATATGTAGGAAGGAACAGTAGAATACAAAGGCAAATTAGAATTAGTGATTAGCAAATACAGCATTACTTGAAAATCCTAAAATAATTACACCTTTCCGTTTCATAGTCATGTTCTGAAACCTTTACATCTGCAACAATGGCAGCTCCCAAAAGTTTTCAGTCATTGATAGCTAAGCGTGACTTCCTTCTCATGACTTCTCAAGACTTTTCACACCAAACCATGAAATAGAGAAAACACAAACCACAAGAACATCACTTGGATTGTATTCAAAATACAATCCCAAGCAGTTAGCACTAGAGAGTGGCAGAACTAGAGGCATCAGTTCCTGCAGAACCTCCAGTCAACTGAAAGCTCACCTGGGAGCTAGAAACTGAATGTAGTCAGGACATTTCTGAAAACTGTATGAAACACCCATAACTCTTCAGGGATCATAAATATCAAAGCTAGCCTTTCTCTGAGCAGCAGGTTGGAACAGACAATCTCCCGAGGTCTCTTCCAACCTAAATAATCCTATGATTTTATGCCATAGCAAATACTTAAAACTGAAATTCCAGAAAAAAAACCCAAAACATTTTAGAATCTCGTTTATAAACCTTCACCATAGAACCATTAACTTTTGAAACAGACTCTTCTCCCAGAGGATGATAATAGGGCAGCAGTCCAATAAATCTAGGTCAGAGAAGTACAACGGATATGAACTTGCCCTACTTAATAAAAAGAACTGATGAAGTTTGTATATACACTTATACCAGGAGGACTTATGCAACTGCAGAATTAATCCAATGGAAGGGACAGTTTTAATTGTACAAACATATAAAAGAATTTGTAGAGGATACTAATAGTGGGTTGCACTACTGAAAATCATAGATTTCAGGCCACTTCAAAAATCATTATCAAAAGGATTTGAGCAATGCCAAGAAAGGGAGATCCAAGTCACTCTACCTGTATCAGATATACAGATCATAGAATCACAGAATGGTCTGGGTTGAATCATCTTTAAGATCACCTAGTTCCAACCCCCTGCTATAGACAGGGACACCTCCCGCTAGACCAGGTTGCTCAAAGCCCCATCCAGCCTGGCCTTCAATGCTTCCAGGAAGGGGGTTTTCACAAACTTGCTGGGCAACCTGTTCCAGTGTCTCACCACCCTCACAGTAAAGAATTTCTTCCTAATATCTAGTCTAAATCTACCGTCTTCCAGTTTGAAGCCATTTCCCCTCATCCTGTTGCTACATGCCCTTGTGAGAAGTCCCTTCCAGCTTTCCTGCAGGCCCCTCTCACGACGGCCACTATCAGGTCTCCTTGGAATCTTCTCGTCTCTGGGCTGAATTACAATTAGTGTAGTCTAGTATTTTATACTTTTTCATTTACATACTATTCATTTTAAAATCTTTTTCTACTTGTCAAGATTACTCCAAATCCCAATTCTGCCTCTGCAAAAGTGCTTCAGCTCTTCTCAGATGGGTACCAATTGATCACTCAGTAAACATTTTATCTCTCCCACTGTCTAGGAAACCACTTGACAGAATCCCATCCTTCTTGTTTGACAGTGAGCCACTGATAGTGGCTCTTTGAAATTATAATTTTGAGACAGGAGAATAAAGCATACACACTTTTTGTCTGCCTTTTACCTCAGCACTCATTTTCAAAACATTCAACTGATCTGATGACGATTAACCTTGGTGGCAGGAATATTGGTCAGAAATAGTATCTTTCTCATGATCAAGTTTCCCCAGTTTTCTTTAGAAACAGTCATAGAGTATCACATTTATCACTTACTCTATCTCCTTGAGACCTGTTATTTTGTCTTCAAATGAAATTAGTTTGCTTTACATGATTTATTCTTGACAAATTCATTTTGGCCATTGTTTAGCATCTTTTTATCTTCTGTGAAATTCTCAGTTGATTATCTGTTCAAATATCTTTCCAGGAATTTATTTTAGGCTGACTGGTCTATAATTCCCTTTATCTTTATATGCATTTTGGAAAGACAGACAAAAAGGTCTCTTCCCTCCCCATGCTTATTATTATTGAATTCTCAGAGCTCATAAGGGAAGAATCTAAGATTTCTTAAGCACTTCAGAGTGAATTGATTGTGACAGAATTTGAAAATATCTGACTCACCTAAGCAGACTCTAACCTGTTCCTATCCACCTTTACTAGTTTTAATTATATTAGTGCTCAGATCACAGTCAGCCTTTTTTAATGAATGATGAAAAAGGAAAAAAAAAAACCACCAGCGATGAAACTGACACCTATTAGTTTTGCCTCTCAATTAATTGGCCAACTCACTCCCTTGCCTTGCTCTAATTAATTACTTATAAGATGTTTTCTTTTAACTGCTTTATTGTTAATGCCATGATTAAGGCCCTTGCCCCATAGTCTCTTTCAATTTCTATGAGCAAAATGTTGCTCAGGGTGAAACTCTGATTTGGGGGTGCATAATACTTGATCATATCAACTCCAGAGGCTGCAGTCATTTTTGTCTCAGTAAGCTCCTACAGCACTTTCAGCCATACACTTAGCAGATTTTCTCCCTCGGTGTTCAGACTGATGCTTAAAATAAATCAGAGCAAGAGAGGAACAAGACGAAATTAGATTTATTCTCTCTTAGCTGAACCAAGATACAAGCTTCCTTCAAAATCATACATTTTGGCAAGTCAAAGAGTATAAAAGGATCCTTTGCTAGAAAACAATTGAGACTTTTTTTTTTTGCACTTGGGTGCAACGATTTGAGTATAAAGAAAACAAAAGAAATAATGGGTAGATTTTAATTATTGCTAGTGACATAAGCCCCAGAATGGAAAAAAGTTTACTCAGTATGGCAGATACCACCTAGTACAACGAAACTGAAATAGAACGTCTGTTTCTTTTTACTTAGTTGCTACTAATGGAGGAATTAGCTATTTGGAAAAAAGATATGTAAAGCTTACCTCAGAGAACCTTTGTACATCCTGGGTTAAAGTTCCTACTCTCTTCCATTGGTAATACTTGAGCAACTTCAAAATTGCTGGATTCACTGCATTATCAGATGGCACTGTCCGGAAGAAATAAGGATATTTTTTCTTGTCAGCCAACTCTGGGGTTGTTGCTGCAAATGAAAGCTGAAAAACAAAATAAAACAAAACAAACAAACAAACAACAAAGAAAGGAAAGTCACAATGAGTCATCTGGCAGCCAGAAGAAAAACTTTGTTCTTCTCAGTGCAACAAGACACAATCCTCTAGTAGTACCTTTCCTTACTGTCAGGTACCAGAAAGAGGGAATAATTATGACAGACAAGACTGCAGCACTGTAACTTGCCTGGCTCCCTGTCACTTTCACTTAGTAAGTTTCCTGTGATCTGAATTATCAAATTAGGCTAAGCGTCAGATTCTACATATGTGAAAACACCAGAATTGGTACAAGGTTGGAGAATGTTCATCATTAGTAAAAGAGGAAATTTGTCAACACAAATGACAAAACTTTACTGAATTCTTCTGCCCAAATTAAAGGCAGCATATTTTTAGGGAAATGATTTTCAGGTAGTGTTATTTACAGAATACCTGCAGACTGACTTTCTGAAAAAGCTCATATTCCTATGATATTTGCAGTGTTTTTAAAGCTGCTAGGATGTGTTTTTCTAGGTTTATTTTAATTTTTTTTGTTGTTGTTTGTTTGTTTTTTTAATAGCCCTGCATAGCAGTTGAGGGTTTTTTAAAGTACCAATTTAATGCAAATTGATTTGACTACAAAAAAATATGCTTCTTAAGAGTGATATGTTATATCTCTCAAATTCAACAATCAAAAAGTAGAGGTGAATTCAAGCCTATGTAAGAACGCACATTCAAGTGTTAAGTTTAAACTTTCTTCAGTCAAGCTTCCAGCATATTTATGCTAGAAACTCTGTTTTGAAATTCATAATAGACAGGTTTGATCTGAAATAACAGCTGTCTTTCTTCATGTTTATAAAACATAGAGGCTGGCAGAGATGACACCATTCCTTGGTTTTACACTCACAAAGAACATATGCGTTGCTATAACCTCCCAAGCCTGAGTATAATTTGTTTTCCTAATTAAAAACCCTGAGATCCAAACAGCTTAAAGTGTGCATAACTGGACAGATCATACTTTACAAAGAGAAGATGCTTCCTCTTCACCTGACAGGAGCTAGACCTTCTGCTTCCATGTAAGTCTCATGTAAAGTATTTTCAGCATAGAAACTGCTCTTCTGTTAGATTTCATGAAGAAAGTACAATATGAGGTACTGTCGTATTGTGATCTTGATTTTTCAAAACTGTACTGGTTGGCTCACTCAGCACTTTGTAATATCTAGTAATCAGCACTGGTTTGTGAAGAGCTAATTTCAAGAGAAAAAGAATGAAGGTCTTCAAGGTGGAAGCACATAGCTTTTCTGTCTAGCCTTGTAGTGCTGAACATCATTTATGTCTTGCACAATGAAAGGAGAAATTGACTTCAGAAATCCAAGATGAAGAGGAATGCCTCTCAAGCTTGCAGCTTGGTCACAGCAAAGGACTTGCTTCTCAAGTTATTATGGTTTGGGATCGAACGTAATTTGTTTGATCCTTAAGAAGAAGTAAAGAGCAAGGCTGAGGTCACAGTGGTGATAAGCAACATAGACAAGGCTCATCTCATTCAGGTTCACAGATGGAACAGGAAATTTTCAGAAGAAAAATATAGAAAGCCTTAGTGAGATGGCTTTAGAGGGAAGACCTGTGACAGAGGCAAATAAAATTTAAAGCCATTCTTTGAAATTCTAGTGACTTAAATAAGTGCCTACATTAGGATCTTAATTGCCCAAAATACTTTAGAAAACAATGCAGTGAAACCTTACATATCCTCATTAACAAAAGATAAAGACTTGTAATGTAGATTTCTCAGCTATGTAGTGATGGGAGATGAATTCAGGTATACATGTAATACTAACAGCATCTAAGTTACCAAAAAATATACCTTGTCATTATCTTTTTGAAGACAGATTTAAATAGAAAATAGAAAAATTTTACGTGTATACAAGTCTTGGAACATTGGATAAGTTCCAACATAGGCTCTCTTTCCCACATTACAAATACCATGGTTGGTCACACTCTGCATCACTTTGCCATTTTAATGACACTCAAAAGAGATGGAAAAAAAACCCCATGAAATAGTTATGTCAGTTCATCCTCTGTTTTCTTTCACATAAAATAAGTCAGTGAAAATACTGAACTTCTCACAAAATAATAATACTGAGAGTTTGGGAACATGCAATGAAATTAATCCAACAGTTTCCAGTACACAGAATTACAGAATCATAGAATGGTTTGAGTTGGAAGGGAACCCAAGGATCATTAAGTTCTAACTCCCTTGCCACAGGCAGAGACACCAGCCTCCAGATACTAGACCAGGTTGCCCAGGGCCCCATCCAACCTGACCCTGAATACCTCCAGGGGCGGAGCATCCACAACCTCTCTGGGAAGCCTGTTCCAGCACCTCACCACTTTCTTAGTAAAGAACTTCCCTCTGACATCTCATCTGAACCTTCCGTCCTTGAGCTTAAAGCCATTCCCCCTTGTCCTGTCATAATATTCTACACTGGAAAGGACAAAGTAGGAAAATGAAAAGATGCTGTATGTTTTAAAGAATTGTAACTAGAAGATCATGTTAATATGGACACAAAGAAGACTTACTGGAAAATGTGATATAGCATGGTTATATAGAAATATCAATCAAAATTTCTAAGTGATAAAATACATTCACAACGCAGTCACAGAATCATAGTATTGTTTGAGTTGGAAGGGACCTTTCGCCCAACTCCCCTGCAATGAACAGGGACACCTACATCTAGATCAGCTCATTCAAAGCCCTATTCAGCCTGACCTTGAATGCTTCCAGGGTTGCAACATGCACCACCACTCTGGACAACGTGTTCCAGGGTCTGACTACCCCTACTGTAAAAATCTTCTTGCTTATATTTAATCTAAATATTTCCTCTTTCACTGTGAAAATAGTTCCCCCTGTCCTATCACAACAGACCCTGCTAAGGAGTCTGTTTCTTTTGCACAGCCCCCCTTTAGATACCGAAGGGCCGCTCTCAGATTTTGCTGGAGCCTTCTCTTCTCCAGGATGAACAGCCCCAGCTCTCTCAGCCTGTCCTCAAAAGAGAGGTATGCCATCCTTTGGATCATTTTTGTGTCCCTCCTCTTGATGTGTTCCAACAAGTCCATATCTCTTCTGTACTGAAGACTCCACATTTGGACACAGTACTCCTAGTGAGGCCTCACCAGTGTAAAGCAGAAGAGCAGTGTTACCTCCCTTGATCTGCTGGCCATGCTTCTTTTGATGCAGCCCAGGATACAGTTGGCTTTCTGGGCTGAGAGGGCAGACACTCAGACTGGATAGCCACATTCTTTTTGGCAAGGGCATTCTACTTACAAGGATCATGGCTAGACTTGTTGTCTGGGAGGCAGCCGGTAGGTGAGCTGGCCTCCTGAGTGGGGGGGACAATCTGCCCTCCCTGCTCACCCTGCCTGCACCAACTGCTGCTCCATGCTCTTCTGACATGCAGCGCCCTGTTTGCGATGCTCCTGGGAACTATGGGCCCTGGAAACAGGCTTTAAATGTATGGGGATTGGATGCCGTCGCCTTCAGGCTCTGCCAACACCGCATCAGAGCCTCTGCCACTCCTCCTGCTTATGGAGGGGCTGAGGGCTTCCTCAGTCTCCCTGCACCTCTTTTTGTGCTCCTTTCCCTCCTTTTTTCCACAGTTTTTTTTTTTGTTTGTTTGTTTGTTTTTTTGCTTTGTGAAGAGTCCTTTGGTGCAAGCTTCTTGAGGTTTTCAATGAAATGGCACTGTCCATGGGCTTCTAAAACCACTGCTGGCAGTGGACATTAGGGCTGGACCTTGTATTGCTGCAGGCAGACAAGCATAAAGGTCAAACTGGGCTGACTTTCTTGTAGCAGCTAGAACTAAGCCCAAGAGATGGAGAGTAGGGGTTTGGTGGGGATAGATTGTTTGCTGAATTTCTCAAAGTATTGGAACTAGTCATAAATCATCCTTTGGGGGGCATGACGTTTCTGTTTCATGAAGAATTATTTAATAGAAGCTGCTGAAGTTGTTGGCCAATGCCAAACTTGAAGAAGGGAAAATCAGAATAAAAGTTTATTTTCACATTTCAATAAAACATAGCACACACTGGACATCTATCGGGTTATATATTATAATTGATGTATACACAAAGGGTCTCTGTGCAAATGTGTATGAAAATATATAGAAAAAAATATCATGTAAGAACTTAACAGATATCCATTTTAATTGTCAGAAAAACTGAAGCTACTTTCAGGTCATCCTTGGGAAATCTTTCTTTACAAAATCTGTTTACAGTTTGATACAATTTGTGAGAAACTGCTTGAGGATTTAACATTAGTGTATTGAAGGAAACATACAAGCTATGGCTCTGGCAGAGATTTCAGATATCAAAGAATTTAAAACTTTTAAATGGAAAAGAAGATAACATTTACCATTCGGCTAAGAGTATTAACTATAGTTCAAATTGAGAATCAAATAGACAAAGATTTTGAAAAATAAATATTTGTATCTAAATAAAAGCCACCATTTTTTAAGGCAGAAGAATTTTCACAGTCACAATTAAATCTGCTCAAATTCACAAATGAAAGAAATAACACACTATTTCTGACTTTTAATATGATTCATATGCAGTTTAGAGTCCATAAAATGTAAGATTTTTTTTTTTCTTAAAAACATTTGGAAATCTTCCAAAAATGAAGAACTCAATGAGATGAATTCAGCTTTCAAAGAAAATATGTGTATAATCAAGCATTACTCCACAGAACTCAGGGAAGTTTCTTTGGCTTCATGCTGCAAATGAAAGTATAATTTGATAATGCTGAGACAGGAAAGGATACTATGTTTTACAAAATTATGACAAATGCTTCAGCCTAATATGACAGATGGCCAGGTTGAGGAATTTTGCTGAAAAACTGAAAACTATAGCCAGTATTTTATCAAGAAGCTGTTGGAGCCAGGCATGCATTTTGATAAATTAATTTTTCCCCAGGAAGATGATGCTTTCTGAAACAGGAAAGCATTATTTTATATGAAAAT